GATATAGGGCAACCTTGCCGAACTCCACTGGAGACGGTGAAGCGTGGCGAAAGTTGGCCATAGTCCCTAACCCAACCTGGGGTATGACGATACAACTCTGAGGATTGGCACATCTCAGGTACTCCATTCCTCAACAAACAGTTCCATAGTGCGGTCCTATCGACAGATTCGAAGGCGCGGATGTCTAAGAATACAATGATCGTCGGTCTTTGATAAGCATGACGNACGGTCGGAGGGTGAAAATTTGATCAATGCATCCACGACCGGCACGAAACCCAGCCTGCTCCTCGCGAGTCTTCTCATCACGCGTAGTGTACAATCGGCGGAGAATGACGGACGCCAACAGCTTTGACGCTGTTGGAATAAGGCTTATACCCTTATGATTGGCGCAGTCATTGCGTGGGCCCTTTTTGAAGATTTTTTTATTACACACTTTCGTGTGATGAACAGCAGACGGGGAAGGCCCCATAGTCTCGAGGACCTGCTGTTCAGTGATGAAAACCGGTAATCTAAACCCCGGGACTTGGAGCAGCGAACCACAAGACCCCGATAGGATGGAGACAACAATCGATTCCCCCCACGAGGGGACATGTTCAGTGTTCCACACTTTAGAGAACAGAACTTGCAGTTCTCTAATAAGCTTTATTCCACCATCTTCAAATAGAGCAAGGGGAAGGCCATCGGAGCCCAGAGCTTTATGATGTCCCAAGGCTTGGACCTTATGGATTTCCGCCTCAGCAAGTGGGTCTGTTGAGACAGATCATGGGGCGCGTGCCGGAATAGCTGTGTGAGAAGCTGACGCTAGAGGCCAGCTAAATTGTGCTTTGAAGTGCTCCGCCCAGCGTTCAAGACGTCTCTGTTGATTGTGAATGGACGAACCTTCAGCTTTGCAGATCGTTTCGCTCACACCCAAGGCTTTCCTACCGGTGATCCGGATGAGATGGAACAGCTTACGGGAATTATTGCCCATGGTGGTAGCACGTTCCATCTCTGATGCGCCTTGAGGCCACCAAATTTTGCGGTCTCTGCGTAGGCTTGCATTAAGTTCACGTCTCGTTAACAGTCGTGTTTCATTATGCTCGCTGCCGGTCGGAATTAACCGACATGCGTCAAGAAGGCGTAGAGACTCCGCAGAGATCGAGGGTGTCACGGCGCGACGTGTCGAACCACA